AGACATAATATAATCTATTTATTTTTCACCCATTTCTAACAAAGTGTGTCATATTTGCAGGGACTAAAAACGTATATAAGCTTATACCCTCTTCCCGTGCTGTATTACCCTCTTTCCACGGTCGCACTCTACACCACGTCGTTCGTATAGTATTCCGAGAATGATGGATTTGTCAAATCCTGCGGTGTTTGTCAATGCTGATATACTACGTATGCATGTGGGATGGAGGGTTCGGGCAGTGATTCAGGTTATTCGCTCTGATGGTGGCACACTGGAAAGTCAACAGATGAGCAACAGATATTCATCAAAGGTGTTACACCTGGTCCACTCTCCACATTTGTTGAGGTTATTGGCATTGCCGATAGTCCCCAATCAATTCGTGCTGATATATGGACCAACTTTGGGGACACACTCGACACTCGATACAGTTAGTTACAACCGCGTTTGTGAACTTGCCAACAGGGAGTATAAGCACCTCTTCATCTGAGGATCTATTTAATCTAGGTTTATGATGCTGTAGTTCCATTTGTTTAGCACTTCATGAACATAGTACATAAGAATATTCAAATGATGGTATTTGGAGTCTTAACGGTCTTTTTTGTCATGACACTGATTGGAGGGTATCATTTAACGAGCATTGTTATAATAAAAAAATATAAGCTCATACGTAGTAGTTTTAAATAATAATAACTATGCTAATGCCAGGCCAGGTTTGATTTTTAAAACCATAACACTTCTTATTTTTACCATCTTCATGAGTTTTACATTTTTTATAAGGGAGGAAGGTGAGATTATTGACAAACACTTTGTGCGTCAAAATAATATTCGATACTAACACTTATACGTAGTATAGGTGAAATAGAGTTTGTATCCACAGGGAAAGGAATAATTCTCTTTTTAATAAAACTAGTAAATAAAAGGAGGTTTTTTTATTGTTGGAATTTAATTAATTAAACACTAAGATGAATGACTTATATGAGATTTAATTCAAGAATAAAAAGAACTTCGTCTTGCTACTTTCCACTTGTTGATATATTTTAGTTGATCATTGTTATATCTATAACTTATCCCATCTCGAATACTCAATCGAGGAGTATCTCCAATTCATCGAGAGTAGTTATTAACAACGACCGTTCATTAACAACCCTTACTATTAATCAAATATAGAACAACGTCGCATACCAATTTAATAGTAGTGTTGAGATATATTATCCCGGTCCGCTACTGTTCAGGAGCTCAAGATTGTACGTAGTACGGAGCCCGACCAGTGAGGCCCGTTTTAGCTTATCGGCCTGTTTCGGCCTTTGGGCCCATTTCGGCCCACTTGGCTCATTAGGGTAGGTTTTCCCCTACTCCCTTTCCCCTATAAATATGGGGCTTTCCCACATGTTTAGGGATCCTCTTTTAACTTGTTCTTCCTTATTTCTCTCTAGCTAGCTCAATACTCCATTAATGGAAGCTTGTACATTGTAATGGTGAGGAGAGTCTTAATGAGAAAGAGAGGGCTTGGACATTAGCCTAAAAAGTCCAGTGGTTTTCTCCCTTTCGGGTTTCCACGTAAAAACTGAGCTTGTTCGCACACATTTATACATATATTTACTATATCGTGTTGGATTAAACTCAACAAGTAGCATTTAATTTTTTTTAACTCCTTGATGAAATCAATTGAGATTGATAACCTCAACACAACGGTTTCGGTTAAACCAACAAAAGTAAACCCTCTTAAGTTTATTAACCACGGCCGTGCATTAATAAACCGAAGTCACTTACTTATGAAACCATTAACGATTAACCATCAGTTCGTTGATCGTTTCTAGTAATAATTAATGTCGGAACGTTAACTAATCGTCACTTAGCAACATTCCAACATTAATATAGAATGAGATTAAGGGAAGAATTAATATTCAAGAGAAGAAGTTAAGAAAATAACTCACAACTTTAATAATCAACAAGCTTCAAGAGCAAAACCAAGAAATGGGAGTTTAGCTCCTCATTTGGAGACTAAACATGCTAGAAAAATATAAAAGATAACTATTCTAAACTGAGCTTAAAAGTATGGAAGAATGAATGATTAATATGAAGGAAAATGGTGCTATTTATAGGTGTTTTGGAGGTGCTGCAGCGGATACCCGACGGGGTATTTGAGATACCCGACCGGGTAGCATTGTATTTTCCTAGCAACTTCGTTTTTCACTTCATACCCGACCGGGTAAGTCATCAAATCACATTTCTTGCATGATTTCTTGTTCTCTTGCACTTTCCTTTGATCTTGTAAGATCCCTTCCATGATCCTTTGTTGATTCTTGATTGATTCTTGCTCACGATGATTCTAAATTTACTAAATTACAACAAACTAGAAAAATAAAATGATTGCACCGTAAATGTGCAATTACCACAACACACCGTAAAAAATAATTAAAAATAAAAATATAAACACTCAAAAATCAATACAATCAATTTTCTTGAAAGTAATTGTAGATTTTCATAGCACTATGCCACTATGTAAATGTGAAGAAGCTAAGAGAAAATGGGATTGATAATTCATCAAAAACAAAGTAAGGTGTGATTATTTCAAAAATATGAGCGAAATGTAAATTTAATGATATGATTTTGTCCAATTGAAAAGAGAACAATTGTAGCAATAGGTCATTGAGCAGTTAAGGTATCGATAGACGAAAAAAGCGGTGACAGGATTGGACTATTTTATTTAGGGTCTTTTATTTATTATTGATGTGAGCTTTCCTATTTTTTTACCTCAATTAAAATTATACATTTTAAGCACATGTTTTTTAAATCACATGACATTTTCATCATTTCTATATTTATTTGGAATTTGGATTTAAAAAATGAAAAGAAAAATCGACCTTTATTTCGTATTGCTAAAGAAGTATATACTCAATATGTCTTTTGTAAGATGTTTTTACTTGGACTGTTTTCAAATCCCAAATCAAATTAGACTTTCGTGTTTATAATAAAATGCATTGAATATCAGACCAGACCAGATTAGACCACATGAATTCAGACTAGATTAAACCATATTTAAACAGATCAGACCAGATTAGTAAAAACATCCTAACAATGCACCATCTAAACCACGCCTGTAATATACATATCATGATATCCTCCAGCCCATGCAGACCCATCCTAAAAATGCACCATCTACCCCGTAATAAGAACAGCCCATCTGCCCAAGTGTACAGATAGAAGTTCTTGAGTGTGCTGCATCGCAACCAAGTATCTAACCAGCAACTCAGCAAGCCCACTTCTTCCTAGTTCTGCCGTTCGCCTGGTTAGCCAGCAACACCATTACGCCAACGACGAGCGAGGGGTGACGCCGTTCTGCCCGCCTTTCGGGTCTCCAGAAGACCTTCCCTTTCCCGTAAGTTTTTAAATTGACAGTGTATTTGTGTACTTAATTTATTATTATTTCTATTTCTGAAATTATCTATCTTGTGTGCAAGCTTATTGTAGAGTTTATTCATTATAAAACCAATTTTATAAATTTTACTTTTTTGTGCAAATCTAATGTGGAGTTTATTTATTGTTGTTTTCATTTGATAAATTGTTAATTGTATTGTGATTGGGGATGTGGTGATTTAATTTCTTATAATGCTATTTTTACAATTATACTCATTGTACTTCAATTCTAGTCTTTCTAAGTTGTTTGTCAAAGAATTTCTATGAAAAGAATTTATACACCGATTCTTAATTAAGGTAGTAAAGGGTCGAACCTTTTTAGCTAACGTGCCCTCCAAGATCTGCAAGGTAGTTCCGCCACTACAAGAAACGGATAGGAAGAGGTTTAAGTTATTGATTTCAAACGAAGACATATATTCATTCAAACAAGAAAACTATAAATGATGCGTATAAAGTAATTTTTCAAAATTTCTAAGCTCTTATGCCAATTTGTTCGATGCATTTAGTTGTACTTCACATATAATAAATAGATATCTTTTGCTTTGTTTAATTTTTGGTCGTTCGAATTTAGCCATTTAAGAATGGTCTTGTATGTCGAGCAATTAGTTAACTGTTACCCCATCCTTTTAACTTTGTTATCTTTCTTTATTGGCAGTCTCAAAACCTTTGTCACTTTATTTTTTTAATCAATTAATTTGTGGTTCCTATTATTTCTCTCTTTTGCGCACAATTCTCAATCAATTTTATTTAATTTATTATCTTTCATGTCAATCAAACTTGACAAAGTTATAAGGGACGAAGGGAGTATTTACTAGTCGGAAGACTATGGTATGAACTAAATTATTCAAGTAGGCTCTATCTAAAATACTCTCAAAAGTAATTCCAATAAAAGAGCATAACGAATGGATTGATTTAGCTTTATGGAGAGTCCAAAACCAATTCCAATTGATTAAGCCTAATAAACGAACAACTACTTGCTATAAAAGAGTTCTACAACAAATGATAAAGATTGCTTTTCTCTACCAAATGAATTATTAAATAATTAATCAAGTAAAAATGATGTTTGATATTACAATTGTTAACCATTAAAGGATGACACATAAGCATTTTAAAACTCAACTTTACTATATAAAAGAATAGATTGAGCAACACACGCATCACTTACGAGTTACGAGTATTACTAAAACAAAGTAATGGATAAAAAAGAGACATTTTTTTAGTTTAAAATGCACTTTACTTAATGACCCTAATGACCACTTCCGTACATAGTGACCATCGCTGGCCAGTGATCAACTGGGCACCGACTTTGCCACCGACCACAATGACCACCACCGGGCGCCGGCTCCAGTAACTACCGCTGATGCTAGTGATTACCACATGTTGGAAAATTAAATATATTTCAAATAAACTAATTATATTGTAATATGATTTTATTTAACGGGTCCTCTAACGTGCAAATGTGGCTGACCAAGTTTGCTTGGTTAAGCATTTTTCTCTCCACTTTTCAAGGATCTTAACCACCTCTCTTATTTAATTTCTCTTATATATTAATTAGAAAACATGGCAGAAGGATGCAGTATCCCATACGAGCTGCCCTACTTGAAACTATTCCCAGCAAACTTTATCTTCTCAAAGGCTCTTGAGCTTTCTTCTTTCATATACTTCGTATACTCATTGACATATATTTTATTCTTCTTCTATGGAGTTGTACGAAGTATACAAACACCCCATATATCATATCTTTAAACACTGCTGGATTACAAAATGATAAATTCTATCCTCGTAGTTCCGCGTCCGGCGATTCGCCGATGGGCTTGTTGTATCCTGGGGAAAGATTTCCGGCCACCGGAAATACTTTCTTAAGGACAGCGTCTGACGCGTCTCGAGCAATTGTCTTTCTTGTTATTTTCGTGTGCAGGAACTAGTTTCCGGAAGAGAGCAGAAGAGGGCGACAACCACGCTCAGACTTGCCGTTGGAAGTTTCCGGAGAGGAAGAAAGAAGCTAAGAAGCGGTTTGTCGGAAGACGTCGACCGGTGCAGGTGGCGAGAATAATTCCCCAACAATCTTAAGAAAGTATTTGTCGGAAAAACCTGTCCAGGTCATCACCGTACCATCCCCAATAATGTCCAGTTCTTGTCAGCACCATCATCACTTCCCTGCCCATCCACAAATGATGCACCGTTGTGCAAATACCTACCATCTTCCTGTATAACCATGTCCGGTACGGGAGCCTTTGAGGAGTTCCCTGCATTCACCCCTGCATTGACATCATGCGTCGATACGACAACATTTGATGTTGATTGAGTACCATAAGCGTCACAGGATTCCTCAATGTATATCTCAAGCGTCGACATATCCTCCATTTGAGTTATGCCCCACATATTCGTTATAGCTAGCTCATCAATGAGGGGCATAAGCATGTACTTTCCCCCGTTCATGGGAAATTTCATTTTCAAGCGCAAAGAACGGCTAGGATGAATCATTGCGGCTGCATATATTTTTTGAAGGATCTCCAGCATGCATGTGCCACGAGAAACCATTACAAAGCTGGTTCTACCACCTTGAATGCATATTTGCCCAGCATCCTCATAATAGTTTCATCCCCAATGACATATTATTAGGAAGCTTGAGAAATCCATATTCTAATAACAATACATGTCCAACTTTCATGAGTACACATTAATATACACACTTTATACACATTCAAATTTTCAATAGAAAAAACTACCTACATTGTAATATACCCAAATGACAAAATGCACAATCAATTCACATTTCAATATCAAAATACCCAAATGTTGATATCTACATTCAAGTCTACATTTCAATACACAAATCTAACAACATTCAAATCTACCCAAATCTCAAAATACACAATTAAATTTACGAACAATTTCATATCAAAATTCAACATTTCATACATATTCACATCACACAACAAATCAATTCACAAATGAATTCCTAATTTACAAAATCGAATTTTCAATATTCAAAACCCTAACATGAAAAATGAGATAAATTGGAGAGATTTACTTACCTAGAGTGTTGAAGAAGATGGAGATGAAAGATTATTGGCAAGATGGAGAAGACCTCGCCGTCACCGGAGCTCGAGATTCGCCGGAGATGGAGCTGCACCCGTCGTCTTTATCGCTTGCGTTCAGTTCGCCAGAGGTTGCTTTTGGATTTCTTCTGTGTTTTGTTCTGTGGCTTGGCCTTACCCGATAATTTTACTTAAGGGTAAGTCGCCAAACCGTTTGGCGACTTATAAGTCGCCCAACGGTTGGGCGACTTATAAGTCGCCCAACGGTTTGGCGACTTACCCCGACCATGGTTAATCGGGCAGTATATTGGTAAATAGTTTTAACCCAACCCTATTTTCGTAATTATTTAATTAATTAACATTAATACGGAAAAAATCTCTTCAATACCGTAATGCCCCCTGTGCTTTGCAAATTTACAAAGACAATTCTTTTTTTTAAATGCAATTCGTATAAATTATAGTCAGCGTATTAGTTCGATGTTTTTGTCTATAAAGAAGTGTTTCATAACATCTAGCAACAAATCTAATTTGATTTCAAATTATATTTTTAATGCGTGTAATCAGTGGTTAATTGAATTTAATATATTGCATCACATATCAAAATTCATTATTTTAGGGATTATAATTTTAAACTCTTCTTTTTTTATATTCGAAATGATTCATTTAGAATTACAAGTTTATTCCTTACTCCAAATTTGAATAACCATGATTGAACCCTTGAAAATTTCACCAACCGTGCATTAAAAAAATAAACCATGCAATATATGTTTAAATATATGAGATCTATTGGTTGTGAATCGTGTGGCGAATATATAATCCCGATTATGGTCCCCCCACCCCCACCCCCTCCCCCCAAAAAATACTATTTCAATACCATAATGCTCCCGTGCTTTGCAAGTTTTCAAAGGCAATTCTTTTTTAAAATGCAATTCGTATAAATAATAGTCCACATATTAGTTCGAGATTGTTGTCTATAAAGAAGTGTTTCATAATATTTAGCAACAAGTCTAATGTGTTTTCAAATTATATTTATACTTTCGTGTAATGTAGTTAATCGAATTTAATATATTGCATCACATATCAAAATTCAATATTGTAGGGACTATAATTCTAAACTGTTATTTTTTTTTTAATTCTAAATGATTCACTTAGAATTACAAGTTTATTCTTATTCCAATTTTGATAAAAAAAAATTAAACATGTGAAAAATTCACCAACCGTGCATCGCACATTTGATTTACTAGTATAGGAAAAAGGGAATAGTTGTCCTTAGATGCCCAAGGGTGGGTGTCCCAAATAGTTTGTAATAGGGGCATTTATTAGTTCCATTTTTCCGTTGGTCCATTATGGAATATGGAACCCGGAAACAAACCGTATTTCTTGAGTTGATTTCTTCCAGTTTGATTCTCTTAATTTGGATTGATTCCTTTAGTCTAGGTTGGTTTAAGCATATTTTTGTGTATTTCTGTCTTTTTTTTTGTGTTTTTGTCCAAGTCTTTTAATCTTTTATTTTATATATCCCATTTTTTTTTCAAATTTGAGTTTTTCTTTTCCGACTTTGTAAAAAATTCTGATGTAGTTTCTAAATTTCTGAATATATATGTGTGTGTGTGTGTGTATGGGAAATCTTTCCGGTAAGGTATACCTTACTGGAGCCGCCGTGCGGCCTCCAGGTTTTGAGGGCCTTACTGGTGGAATTTTTCGACGAATTTTTTTGAGCATGTTCTTCATCAAGTCTAGTACATCCATACCAAATTTCAGCAAAAAATTCAATCGGGAAGGCAGTCAAACGATTTTTGGAAGATAACTGCACTTTTTATATACAAAACGCAGTTATCTTCCAAAAATCGTTTGGCTGCCTTCCCGATTGAAGTTTTTGCGGAAATTTGGTATGGATGTACTAGACTTGATGAAGAACATGCTCAATAAATTTCATCAAAAAATTCCACCGGGAAGGCCCTCAAAACGTGGAGGCCGCACGGAGGCTCCGGTAAGGTATTGAGTTCCCTGTATGTATGTATGTATGTATGTATGTATGTATGTATGTATGTATGTATGTATGTATGTATGTATGTATGTATGTATGTATGTATGTATGTATGTATGTATGTATGTATGTATGTATGTATGTATGTATGTATGTATGTATGTATGTATGTATGTATGTATGTATAAACTTTATTTTCTAAAAAATCTAATTACAGATAACAATCTGTTAATTTTATGGTCAGTCAAACATAGTAAATCACGTGAGAACTTTCTACAGGACGGAGAGAGTACTAATCATTAATGTAGCACTTAGAGCTCGTTTGGTAATACCAAAATCGGCTAAATCGACTGATTTTACTGAAACTTATAAAGTTCTGGTTAAGGTGGTTGTAGCGATCGATTCTGTTGTTTTATGTGAAAGTTATATTTAAAATAAATTTTATTAAAACAATATGTGAAAAATAGCTAAAATAACCCTCGACAGTAACTTCAGTCAATATGGTTAGAAAAATAATTCTGATCTTACATTTTCTTATTATTACAAAATTTAACGCGTGAAATAAAAAATTATGTGATTATTGAAAAATTAATTGATAAGTTGATAAGTCAAAAATATGATTATCAAACGGGCTCTTATTAGTAGTGATGAGAGCTCTTCTCATCAGGCCGGCCTGACGGGCTGCCCCGTCCGGCCGAGCCCGTTTGGGCACCTTCCCGGTGGAATTTTTTGATGAAATTTTTTGAGCATGTTCTTCATCAAGTCTAGTTTGTCCATACCAAATTTCAGCTCAAAATTCGATCGGGAAGGTCGTTAAATGATTTTTGCAAGTTAACTGGTCCGGAAAATACATATTCCGGACCAGTTAACTTGCAAAAATCATTTGACGACCTTCACGATCGAATTTTGAGCTGAAATTTGGTATGGACAAACTAGACTTGATGAGGAACATGCTCAAAAAATGTCATCAAAAAATTCCACCGGGAAGGTGCCCAAACGGGCTCGGCCGGACGGGGCAGCCCGTCAGGCCGGCCTGACATGATGATTTCTCTAGTAGTGATTCAAACTACTCCATAGATGTTTTGCACGACCCAAATGGCCAATACCCTTACCCGGAGTCCGAACCTAATCTGGACTGATTTCACAATGTCAACTCTTTTGCTTTTTAATGACCTAGCTTAGCTAGCTAGCTAGCATATCCGATCTCTTTCCAGTTTCCAGGCGGCATTGCATACGGTCAGTTGTTTGAGATTTGAACTTGTGTATTTTGTTATTTGATTTCATTACATCGATGAGTGAAAACACTCTAGCTAAAGAAATGCAAGAATGTCGAGAATACAAGCATGAGCACGAAGGAGATCATGGGGCTGAAAATGTAGAAATGTATTCCGAGGAAAATGGTAGAGAAAACAAACGGAGTAAGGATTTGCCAATTGATAGACTTAGTGAATTGCCCGATAGCTTACTTATTCACATCCTCTCTTTTTTGGGTGTGAAGCATGCTGCTATGACAAGCTTGCTGGGGAAAAAATGGCAGTTCCTTTGGGCTGAACTGCCTAAACTTGAATTCGAATTCGATTTCTGGGATAAAAATGAGAAGCCTGACAAAATACTTAATTTTGTGGAAGGGATTAATAAGACTCTTGCTACTCGTAGTGAAAATTATCTAGAGAAGTTGAAGGTTGTTTTCAAGTACAGGGAAAGCTTTGCTCCTGATGTTGATAACTGGCTAGAGTTTGCCTTGAAAAGTAAGGTGAAACATGTCCATTTGAGCATAATCTTCAGCGAAGAGTTCTACACTCTTCTTGAGATGATGTATTCCAATTCATCATTGACATCATTGTCATTGCGAGGCTGCATCTTGGATCCTACAGGGACAATACAATGGTCGTCTTTGACCAAATTGCAAATTTCGGAAGTGGATTTGCCTCAAACTGTAGTTGAAAAGATAATATCAGGTTGTCCAGTTTTGAATTGTTTGGAACTGAGCGAGTGTTGGGGATTCACTTGTTTGGACATCAATTCTCGAAATCTATGTAAACTTTGGGTGCAGGACCCTGAATTCGAAGAAACGAAACATATCCTGCAAATTTCAGCACCCTATGTAACATCTTTGATTCTTTGGGTGACTCTTGAAGAAACACAGCTGAAGCTAATAAACATCTCATCTGCTGTTGATATTTTATTTTGCTTTACCGGATTTTTGTCAGATTTGCCTTCCGATAATGTGTTGAGTAATACGAAGGAGTTTTTTCAAAACATTCACCACGTCACAAAGCTTCAAGTGGGTCCTGGCCCTGTTAAGGTTGGTATTGATGCTCTAAGCTTATGGAACATTCTGTTGTTGTGAAGTTCATTTGATCTTCTAGGTTTTAGCCATGCTTTAATTCATTGATATTGTCTTAAAATAAGGAGAGTATAAAAAAAGGCCGGCCCGGTGCACATTAGTGTTCCAGCAAGGCGGGGTCAGGAAAGGGTCCCACCAAAAGGGTGTATAAAGAGCAAACCTTCTATTGTCATTTTGACAAGAAATTGCTCTCAAGACTTGAACCAATGACCTCTTGGTCACACAGCAACACCGTAACCGGTGCGCCAAGGCTCCACTTCTCAATAAAGAGAGTATACGTGGATATATTTTAAGACTCTTTGGCTCTTTGCCCTGAAATTCAATAGTT